CTCCGGGACCCACAATCGTCTAAGAATGGGGGACAAATGTGACCGACAGAAAGCATTATCGAAGAACAATGGATTTGGACGAATTTATAATGCAAGAACAAAGTAGCAACTAGCCGAGCACCCACCCACCTAGGAACGCACCAAGGATATGCGACCGAGATTCAACAGAGGGGTGAGAAATCCCAACGTCGAAAATAGTGAAGTAAGAGAAAAACAAACACAAATCGCATTCAGGAATGTGGAAGAGTAATCATCAATTTGCTTAGTTCCACTGCATCTACTGGACGTGAGCTGTGGAGTGATGTTGATTGAGAATGGCTGGTGAACGCCACACACACACACTGGTGTGGTACGGTCGACTGGTGAAGCATGAATATACGTCTAACATGGAGTCGTCCCTCAGATGGCGTCTTCGAATCACCGATGTGTATGTGCGTACGTTGGTATGGGGTCTGGAGACAGTTCGCTCGGATGACCAGACACCAACGGATACTCTGCGCTGAATAAGAATCTACCGAAGAAAGCAAAAATGAGACAGAAAAACTCCAAGCGCCTACACTGAACAGAAATTGAAGAGCAAGGAGATCGCGACGAGGGTGCATTGAAACAGACTTGTGCTTGAACAGTTCTGAGGCGTGGACGACTTTTGCAAAAAAGACAAACAAAAAAACGTTTGCATTCTCACAACCGATCCTTGTTCTTCAATCATCAAACAATAAATGACGCGGAAAGGGTGGGAGAGAGGGAGACGATTTCATTGAGAAAAACAGAAAACGTATTCTCGAAGAGGATGGAAGCCTTCAAGGACCTCAATGCGATGATGACAGCAAGGGAAAAATACAGACAGATCTATCGAAATATTGGCAAACAAACGTTTTCCGGAAGTTCATAATCAATTTATCAATGAAGATTTGTTTAATGTGGCGATTGGCGCTGCTCAGTTAATTTGCGGTTGTATGTCTGCGCATATTATATCGAGAAATGCAAACTGATCGAAGAGGTAGGGTATAAAGGACAGCAGCCAACCAATGTCAACGAAAATCAAATGATATATATATATATATATATATATATATATAACGAGAGGTGAGATTCAGCGACGGTGGATCGAGTTTTCAGATAAAATCGAGGGATACATCACGCAATGGGAAAGTGGAGCGCACTNAATCGGTTCTCGTAACTCGAGTACTGGGAGACGGTATATACGAGTCCCAGGAGAATCTTTAACGACTGTGTTCAGTACCGACGTAAATAAAATATAATCAAACGGATTTGCAATGGATGAAGAGAGACAGAGGTATTCGTGTCAAACAGCATTGAAAGAAAAGGGATAAATGATGAGATACCATCAAAATGGCTGACGCGATCAATATGGAGTAGAGAATGGAAATAGCCCGTACCCTCACATTCGGGTACTGCAAGCACATAACGCCGTTCACCTAGGCCAGATTGGATAAACTTAAATTTGATATATCAAATCAAGAGAGGATGATCGAATCCTGGCATGCACTATTTTAAACAGATCGATAAACACAATGACTACGGGTCAAAGTGGAATTGCTGACTACATATGGTAATCTGGCCGAAGACTGGCGTTCGATGAAAACAAGGAAATCTGGTGGTTGTATAGATCCGCTGATGTCCGGTTCAATACTACGCCTAACCTAGCGGGACCTTATGTGGTTCGCCACTCCAAGTCCCGGGGCTTAGGTTGCCGGTTTTCACCACTGAACGGCAAGTCCTCGTGACTATGGGGTTTACCCCGTCTGCTGTTCATCACACACTGGTGGGTAATAAAAATAAAATTGAAAACAGTATGTGGAAAACCGAAAATATAGATAGCTACTGTCAGACATTAGTGAATCGCACACAATTACTAAATAGAGGCAAGAAAAATTCCGTGCGAACTAAAACGGGAATTCTCACTTTGTGTTTGTATCGTAGAATCGCAAAGCATTGATCAGAGTGGTATTGTACCATTCGGCGAACACAATCAAAGACAGACCTCGTTGGGTGACATCAGTAAACAATTTGTCCACTTCTTCGGGGAAATATTCCTCTTCTGGGTCAACCAACAACAAGGTGCCTGCAATGTGGAAAGCATGATCACTGGGGTGCGTTGGAAAGCTGATTAAACCGTGACATACCAAGTGATTGGGAAATGAACGAAATCATCATCACCGTACAGCGAAATATAGTGAAGCGAAATTTACTGATTGCTGCCAAACTCGCAATGCACACAAGATTATGGGTAAAATTCGAGGGGAACAAGGATTGAACCTACTTCGGGAGAGGGGGAAGAAGGTGGATCTCTGTGGTCAACATACAGAGTGTACAATCGAACTCTGCACATACCGTTTCAAACATTCTGTCCTGATAAGAAATGACAACAAGAACGCCACTGCTGTCGGTTTGCTGCGATATCCTTCAGTGTCTCCAACCAACCAATTGTGAAGTCTTTCGGACCCCAATCTGGAAGGCGCGATTTACTTACTCTCCCCAATGGCTCTGTGCATTTCTTCATGCCTCGCCTCCACATCATCTGTTGACCTCCACGTGGTTTCCTCCAGCCAGTGAAGTCTATTAATGTGAATTCCATGTGCCAGCAGGTTTATACCTAATAGACCACCAAACACACGACGGCTTACTTCCGGATTGCTAACCCGTTCGCCCAACCCCAAGTAGGCTAAACTACGTAAACACCGATAGTCTAAAACCTCTAGTCGATGAATATCTCCTACTCGCAAATTAAAGGTCTCACAACCATAAAGCAGAACTGAATGAAAGCTAGCATAACATACGCGATCTTTCTGCTTCAGTGAAACGTCGCGTCTACGCCAAAGGTATTTCAGTCCTGCGTATGCTGCTCGAGCCTTGGAAATGCGAGCAGCTATCTCTTTTGCTGCACTGTCGTCATTGGTCATGCAACTACCTAGGTAGGAAAAGTAATCCATCATAACTAATTCCTGACAATTTAGTTTCAAGGCGGGAGTTGGAGACACCCGGTCCTGTAGAATCACTTTGTACTTCGAAGTTTCAAAGCACATACCGAATGTGGCAACCGCACTTGTTAGTCTACAACGTGCACTTTGCGCGTCCTCCATACATTAGAACAGACAAACGATGTCATCGGCGTACTCTAAATCGCACAGCTTTTCTCCAGCTGCCCATTCAATACCTACATTTTGGATACCACTCAGTGCGTTCTCCAGTATTGTGTCTACGACAGCAGACAAAAAGTTATCGCTCTCGCTCTCTCACCGACCGTGGGTGAGAACCGATATGAGGCAATATTGATAACAACGATGCGAAAAGCAATGGAAAATACGAAAGAAAACCTCGAGAAATAGAACTTCATTGTTAAATCGTTCTGGCTGGGGTGTTCCAGTAAGAGGTTCAACCCTTGCCACGACTTTTGTGATATCTGGCTGGATATCACCGGCATCGGATAACGGATTTACATGGATGGTGGCCCCAGTATCGCGCAAGTTGTTAGTCATTCTAAGTGAATAGAGGTAGATGCTCATGACTACCTGGTGTACTCTTTCTGCCGTTCAACAAACTTCTGTCTATAATTTAAAAATAAAAACTAAACGCCGACAGTTTCGAGAAAAGTTTAAAAATTAAGTAATACCGCTCCTATGAGGAATTGGACCGGGATGAAATCGACGCTAGATGATTGGTCAAATGCTATTTAGTCCCCGGTTTCTGTAGAAAACGAAGAGTCGAATCTGTCCATGCAGCTTAGAAGTGACTGGAAAAGGTACCCGTAGAAGCACATCACCACCAGCAGCCACGCAGTTCTTGCCGCTCATCAATTATGCGTATTCAAATCATTCGTTTATAGCGCGCGAAAAAGTGGTGGCGGCAGTTGACATTTTGCATTCATTTTCGGTAATAGTATGACATATGAAACTAAATTTTTCTCACGCTTTTGCAATGTCGTCCGTTGCAATCACACATCAAACCGCTACGTCTGACTTTCTGTCATTTTGCCGTCGAATAAACTATTTTTTTCCCCACATACTGCAAAGATGATGGCTTGCTCAGATGTAACATTTTTAGATTGTTAGATTATAACATTAAATACGACTAACAACAAGAATCACATGGGGAACGAGAAATTCGAGTCCCAAGTCGGTTCAGCTCTGGCTCCAATCGTGTGTGTGTGTGTGTGCGTGGAACCAGATCAAAACCATTAGAACTCGAAGTCCTTATTTCTTTTTGGTTCATTATGTTATTTATATTCACCGTTATGCAATCTGCATAATTATGAATAACTGAAAAGAACAACAATTGTTTTTTTTTATTTTCCCTCGTTGTGGCTAATTTAAACATTCCTATACGGATCCAATACTATGAGCACAACGCACAATTCCTTCAAAGACATCCGTTCCAACTTTGGATGTGATACCGTGAACTGAAAAGAAGTTTTTTCGCCCCGCTGTTGATGTTCTCAATTGCACAGACAGAAAACGTGAATGGAACTGTCTGGTTTGTTCCTACGCACAGCTTTGTTGTCGTCCGGTTCTGTACCACTCCTAACCTAACGGGGCCTTATGTGGTTCGCCCCTCCAAGTCCCGGGGATCAGGTTGCCGGTTACCATTACTGAACAGCAAATCCTAGTGACTATGACATCCGTCACGTCTTCTGTTCATCACATCCTGGTATGTAATAAAAAAAACGAAAGCTTAATCCGATCTATCGCTAGTCGGGCAATAAAAGACTGTTATATCGACACTGTTAGATGAACTGGTAACAGTCAAGTCAGCGCTCCTGGAAAATGAATACCTAGAACACATTACGGATTGCCGCATGAGAATGAACCATGTAGAACTAAAGAACTCAGGAGTGAAAAAAAACAGCTAACAATATACTGGTTTGCGAAAACGTCATACGCTAGGGAAGACTAAGAGCATACAAGGCATACAAAAGAGAATTTTTATTATCAATTATATGATCCATATGTGAACACTCACATCCCAACACCGCCATCCACCCCACCCCAACCCGCCTCCCTCCGTTAAACAGTACCAACGTAAATTCTTATTTTTCTGCGTTGTGTTGTATTTCGTCGTTAGATGAGGCACTGAAAGCAAGCTTCGATTAGCTGACGATATCATACTGATGAGTGCAGATCCAGAAAAGGTGCATACTATTCTGGATGGTTTGAGTGCTAGTGTAGCGGAATGTTGTTGCTACAGGATTGAATCGGTCCAGATCTCAGTCTCACTCTACTTGAAGAAGGGATAGAATTGAACGATTTCTGTTTTGTGGGAAGTTATATCTCCCCCGACGAACATATCACGGGTGAAGTAGGGCACTAAAACACAAGGCTTGGTGCGAATTTTCCAATTCAGACATCTCTGGCATCGTCATTATATCGAGATCAGCTAGGAGAATGAAGATTTCCTTTAAGTGGTCTACCGAGTAACTCACAATCTACCGAGGGCTGGCTGGCTGTACGCCAAAACCACGGAATAACAGTCGAATAAGCAGCCATCAGTCAGCTCAATCTATAGCCTCGTTCCCACAGAGCGATTTGTCGATATATGCTTCAACTGTTATGGCACCGGTGTGTGAACTCGGTCTCGTGACTAGGGATTACCCTCCCTAAGACTCGAACTGGAAGAACATAGAAGCGAACCGATAACAGTGGCGTTCTTCGAGAAAAGTGTGCACGCACAGCTGAACCGTGAACTATAAAGGTTCACTTTCTTCCCTTCCTCGATGAAAACAAGCTCAACCACACTCCACACATTCTTACGGATTGTGAATTTGGCGGCGATCGCCTCCAGGCATGATGAACATGATGCTTTATGCACATTACAAATGGCGGGAAATGGTTTTCCAAATGGGTGCCCAAGACTTTAGGGCACAGCATACTTCGCGGCAGCCCATACCGACGAAGAGACACTGAGTGATATGGCTGAGTGTCGTAAACCGTGGCGTTCGTGCATCTTCTCAATTTCTTTGCAACTATAGACAACTGAAATTCTCAATTTTCTCTTCGACTCTACTTTCACCTTTCCTGTCTTTCACCTATTCTTCATCCAACTGGGCAGCCAAAAGACAGCAACCAAAACCACCGCACGAGGGTGCATGGTTAATAGTTGTACAAACTGAACTGAACTATGCATGTTCTATATCCACCAAACACTATCTATCTCATTTAAAACCACACACCCAGTACATTTGTCGATCAAATCCACACATCTTCGAAAGATTACAGAATTTCATCATGCATCGAGCACATTCATAGCACCGTATCAGCCAGAAGATAAAATTATCAAAAACAAACTGGTTCGCCTTTTTCATTTTTTACACTGAACCGAATGAAGCAGTTATTACTGGTACCGGTAAACTGATTTCCATGATTAGAACCAGCGATTGAATATAGAAAAAGCATTATAATCGGTTCTTCTTACCGTAGTTATTAGCATCAAAGCATGTGAACGGTTCCGAGAGAATCTCCACAAAGTAATTCGCCTTCCTTAAGTGAGTGTACAGATCACGAAGATTTGTGTGCATATGATCGCCCAACCTTGGAAAGATTGAAATGAGATGGAAGACATGGAAAGGAGAATTAATAATCCCCAGAACAATCATCAGTTTTTAAAAAATACAAAACGGGACTTGAACCCAAGAACACCAAGAGTGCCTAGCGACTCTTAACAATCGAATAGGCTAATCCCAGCTTGCTACCCTAAAAAGGGACTCGAATTAGTTCAGAAGTATCATCCGACTGCCATCACCAATGTGTGCTTCACGCCCCAGTGTAGTTCAACGGGTATATTGACAATTCGTGTAATACGTTCCAACCGGTTAGTGCACCTTACGTGTTGTAGACTATTTTCACCTTACAGTTGGTGGCTTTAACCACATACACACACCTGCATTCATTATTATGCGCTAATCATCGTACAGGGAAATTCACCGATTGCAACCAAAATCGCAAACCATATAAAGTTGGTGGTAATATGTACGGTGGATAGCGACTGGACCAACTTTGAGGAGGAGGAGGGAAGAAAGTGGACCTAGATGGGAAACTTACAGAGCACACAATCTGACCGTGCATACATACCGTTTCAGACATTTTGATTGGATGAGAAATGAAAACAAGAACGATAATGCTGCTCCATGCTCATATATTTTGTATCAAACACTTTTCAAATAAATTTAAATGTCTTTTTATTTATTGAATATACAAATGTACGCTCGACTTTCAGGAATGGGGCCCCGGTCATACAAAGGCTGCCTGGGAAAAATACAGAAATGAGAAAGATGGACAGCAGCAGAGCGGTTTGAACCCGTGGCTTCCGGGCCATTAGTCTGATGACCTTAACCACTTGGCTACCACAGTCCATCACGGTACGATCTAAGATTGACTCGCAATCAGGACATTCTACTTTCACGCCAGTCAAACATATCATGTCTCTTCCACGGGACTTTTCCTCGGACAGTATTGCTCTGCTAGGAAATTTTATCCAACTAGTAACTGACGGTTTTTCTCCAGACAGATATCGGCTGACCAATACAGCTTTTCTGACGGCCATGTTAAACCATATTGTTGACATGTGGTGTCGTGTTGCAACTTTGTGGCTTCAGCATGACACAATATCAACGCCGTTTTGTAAACGGTTACTCCCCGAAAATGTTCCAGGAGAACAGAAATGCAACAATTGTCGCTCGTTATGAAGAGTAGAACAAAAGGTGGTCGCATTCATTTCATGAAAGCCAGTCTTCTTGTGACAAGCGGATATGAATCTATCTCGGGTGGAATCAAACAACGTTTCAGGTGGAAGGAAATGATTTGCAATTCTTCCATCGACATAGAAAAACTGAATGCTACGTACAGATTTCTTCAAAAATCTCATCTTCATTTGAACCCATTAGCTCTGCTGAAGTGCACTGAGATATATGTTGTATCAAGGTGTCAGCAGCACCTGGTACTCAAACTTCTTAAGCACGATTCAGAACCACTGTTTTACGTTTTGGTACAGTTAATCTTTCACTCGAACTCCAAACCATTCCACAGTACTGGTGCCCAACGAGCGATACGCCCATCCCCAGAAAAATAACACCGGGCCCGAAAGCAAAACGTTTTGCGGCCAATCGTGCTCACTCACGGACGGCGGTGGTCGAGCGATCAAATTACTGCCCTGGAGGGCGTGTGTGTGTGTGTGTTCGATTCCCATCCCAACCACCTCCTGATTTTCACCATTCAGTGCTGTATGGCATCCGTTTGATTGGCCGCTTCCCCCTTCCAGAAAATCGTATCATTATATTATTCAACAAAAAAAGTAAAAAAGACCATAGTTTGAAAATGATGGAGACACAGGTTCTATATCCTTTCATTAGTTCTCACCAACGGGGATGGCATTTATCAATTAGCAACCAAGAAAAGCCGCTTTACACTGGATGATGTTTCTTCCCTAGTTTACGTTGTTTACAAGTTTCTGAACTGTGTATTTCGTGACTATTTTCACAAACGCGTGCTCTGGCTGTTCTATTTTACCTGGCAAGCCAGTCGTTTGGCGATCTCTCTCGTGTTGAATGGCTTGGAGACTACTTTTCGTAATAATACTAGTATGTTAAGTTGAGAAAAAGACAGTCAACGGCGTCACTCAATAGCTCAGGTGTACTTCAAGGTGCTGTCTCATCGCCCTGTGTTTTCGTGACTTACTTAATACTCCCCATGTACGATATTTTAAGTGAGCTGATGATATCACCATCAAGATTCACATGTCTAATGAAACGAAACTGGCAGTATACTACACAAACGTATCCCTCCTCGTTATGTATTCCATGTTACCCAGTTGTAATTCAAATTCTGAAAAGTGCTTATGAGGCGTTCTCGCTTTAAACCGTTGCTCGTTACCTTTGGATGGCGTACAGGCTGAGGGATAGCCAATGCACAGGGTGGGCAATGGAAAGTATTTTGGTTTCACTGTTGAAAGTGATCTTCCGTGGGCATTCGATACCCTAACTACTGTTTGGGAGCTAAAACGTCTTCTCCGCTAAACTGCGTCAGTTCTGCTTGAATTTTTCGGTGATGGTAGCTTATGTCCAAAACTGTATCCTCCTCCCCCCCCAACCGGTGGTTTTCCTGGTTAAATCCAGACTAACTTCAAGTTGCATAGGCGTGGTCACACAAT